CTCGGGCAGGCAAGATGGAGCCTCGCCCAGCTGGCCCTGCGTGCGAGCGGAAGAAAGGGGCCGGAGGAGGAGGAGGAGGAGGAGGCTCCCTTCTCTCGGGCGCCGCGGTCTTGGACGGGGGGTGGGTGGGCATCCGCGTTTCCCCCGTCCCCCTCCCGCGCCTAAAAGCTAGGGTGGGCCGCCTTCCCTCCTCCTCCGACCCTCATGGCTGCAGGGGTCGGTCCAGGGCACCTGGAAGGAAGGAGGGCCGGGAGGGCTCTTTTTCCGCCCTCCTCTCGAGGGGTTGGTGTCTCTGAGAGGCAGGCCTCCTCCGCCCCGCCCGGGGGTCCCGAAGGGGCTCTTGCCCCCCCTTCCTTCCCCCGTCGCTCCATCCCTCCCTTTTAGCCTCTCTAAAGAAAGAAACCTTCACAACATTTTGTTCCTGCTGTTTTGGTAGAGCCGATTTGGAACAACAACAACTGCCACCCCCATCCGTGGGTCTCTCATCGCATCCATTGACCACAATTCTTGCCTCAGAACAAGTGCTGAAAGCAAGCAGGCAAGCAAGAAGGAGAGAGGAGGGGGGGGTTATCCAATCTTTTGTGACTTCACTGCCCTACTAGTGTGAACAAAAGAAAGGGTAAGAGCAGCATTCAGCACTTTAAAAAGGGTTCTTCAGTTTCCTTTGAATGAGGCAGATGAGTCCTCCTAAACAGTATTTTACCTGACTTGCAATTGGAGAAAAGCTCCTCAGCTTCTGCACAGCTCTGTACATTTAATTTCCCCAGTGCCTCTATTAAAGCATCCTCTAATTCACATACAGGGGTAGAATCCTCCCTGTACATGTCCCAGAAAGGACACTTAACTCCCTTCTGCTGCTAAAAGGCAGAGGTGGTGGTGGGAGATGAGAAGGAATGGTGGAAGGAAGTAACAAGATGTGGTCACTATTCTCTCCCTGCAGGATAGCAGGATGCCTGACACACCTCCAAACTGATACATAGACTTCACTAGAATCTGTTCCATCCTGTAAAGTCTCATACTATGCTACCTCTGTTAATGCTTGCAACTGGCTGTGCCCTGTCCTTTTAATATTCTTGGTTTATGGTTAATTTGTTATATATCTGAAATGTTGAGCCACTTCCATATTTTGTACATATCTGTAATTAAACATATAGCTATAGTACAGTTTAAAACTAGGGTTTCGTAAAATTATTTTTGATAAATGCAGTCTACATATCTAAAGACTTAATTGTATCTAATTAGGAGTAATGCCAGTATGGAAGTAGTATTGTTATTAAAACCTAAGATCACACTTAAAAAGTCACATTGCGATCCTATGCACATTTATCTAGAAAAGAGTCCCACTGAATCCTGTGCAGCTTCCTCCTATGCAAGCTCTTACAAGTAATTTAGACTATGAAGCTTTACATTCAGGGTGGATTTTAATTAAATCAAATGAGATTTTTTAATGAGTTAAATCAAAACAATTTTTAAAAATTTAAATTGAGATTTAAATCAATTTGATTTTTTAAAAAAATCAATTACTTTATCCACCTTGTTTACAATGCATTCACATATTGTGTTTGAAAAATATTGTTGGATTGTGTATTAATTTGGAAGCTGCTTTTTATTTGCAAGATACATTGCAGTTTGTGAATTATAGTTCCAGTGCTTCTATTTAATGGTTAGAGCCAGAAATTGCACATAAGGACCATTTTCTTTCCCTTAGGAATGAAATTGACTAGGCAAAAAAAAAAATAGTCGCTTGCAAGGCAACCTGCCTATTAGTGGATTTCTTATGAGTCTATTTCTTGATTCTTACCAGATAATCTAGGGCAGTAGATGCAGCAGTCTTACTGAATCTTGCTGAAGCTATGCAGTTGTGGTCAGTTGCTGGATGGCAGACCATCTGGGAACTGTAGGTGAGTTCCATCAGCGAATGAGGTTGAGGCATTAAGAAAACACACCCTTGACCAGTTCCTTGGTATAGAGACTACAAATGTACAAAGAGCTTTATAAGAATTTACAGAGTTGAGGTGAAGTTGCTATGCCTGCTCCTGGAAGCAGTTTTGGAGGGTATTGATTTTAGGGCTGTCTAATAGGAAAAATCTCCATCAACTAATGATCCTTCACCCATTTTTCCAGTGAAGAATTTTCATTGGACCATGGTGTTTTCTGTGGATAGAAAGAGCCTTTTAGTTAATTTTGTGTGTGTGCGTGCGTGCATTAGGTTCAATGGATGTTTTTTAGTCAATTAGACTTGCAGCACTATTTAGAAGCAGAGTAAATTTAGTTCAATGGGACTTACTTCAGAATAGGCAAGTATAGCTTTGAAAATTCTAGGCATAATGTTACTGAACCTGATTTGCTGCTGTTGCTTACTGGTTTCAAGAAATAGTTTTAAATCGTTCAAACCTTCTCCTAGTTTGTGAGGTCTTTAGCAGAAGAAGTAACACTCATACTTTCTGTCTATTAATAGTTGTATGCTCTTTTTGGTCTAGCAGTAGTATTTATGTTTATATGGCTGTGGACCTGTGGAATGATAAGATGTGAAATCTAAATGTGTTCATCCATTAGTGGAATGCACCCCATAGCCAGAAAAGTTTTCCTTTCTTCCTTGCAACTCCTTACATGTGTTGCCGAGTGTGTGTTCTGTAGGGTTGTAAAACTCTTTGGAGGATGTTTGAGGCTCACACAGTGAGCTGTCAGGGATGACTTATTTGTACATAAGGGGAAATTCATTTGTTGAGTATTAGATGTTACCCATTAATATTCGTTATTGTTGTATGCAGCAGGCTGAAAGAGATATGTTTAAAATGGGTCTTGCCATGACCACTGGCCACTTTACATACAACATGTTTTTTGCAAGCAAGCCACATACCCTGTTTTCCTGAAAATAAGAGCTAACCTGAAAAATAAGCCCTAGTATGATTTTTCAGGATGCTCATAATATAAGCCCTCCTCCCAAAATAAGCCCTAGTTAAGTGAAATCTCACCCTCCACCATTGTGCAGCAACCAGAAGATGACATGACTGTATTTGAATAAATGTAGATTGCTGTACATGAAAAAAATAAAACATCCCCTAAAAATAAGCCCTAATGCGTTTTTGGAGCAATAATGAATATAAGACCCTGTCTTATTCAGGGAAACATGGTATATTAATAAATTCATTAAAAACTAAAGCAGGTTTGTGATAAAATGCATCATGAAGATAAGTCTAATTTGTCACGTGTATGCATTATGAGAAGCATGCACTGGAGCCAGCTTTCTGATGTGTGTATTATATACCTTATGATGTGGAGCTTCTGCCTCAGTGTACAAAACTTACGTTTAAATTCAGTGCAGTATTAGGCATGCTATCACCTGTTGTTTTCACTGGGCGTAAACTTGTCTAACTCTGCATTAGGCTTAGGTTTTACATCAAGCAGCCTTGGGTTTGCAAATGAAATACACACTTTGGGGAAAGCAGAAGTAAAGTTCAAATTATCTAAATACATAACCTGTTATTCTGTTGACCCTATTATTTCACCTATTTTGTCAGAAGTTAAGCATGCTTTGGTACATGAGCAACCTTATGGTTGTAGAGGTTCTGATGCCATTCATTTTTAGAATGGAAATTACTGTCAGTTGCCTATGGCTGCAAAGAGATTTTAGAAGTCAAGGGATGCTAATTTAAAAAGTAAAATGGGAGTAAACCCTATTGTGCATAATGACACTGCATAGCATTGCGTGATGAACCTTCATTTCACTCTGAAGTCTAATTTTGTGCATAAAGTCACAGACATTAAGACTGTGATGCTGTAACCACTTAGTGGGGGATATGTATCCATAGATACATAGAATTGTGCTGTAAGTCAAGGTGAATACAAATGTGGTTGTTGGTCGTGTATAATGGCTAATCCTTTACAGCAGGCAAATTATTTAACAAGTAGAGTCAGTCCTGATTTGCCATTCTGATTTATCAAAAAAAAAGTTTTCCAGACACAGTAGTGATAGTGTTGCTGCCATTAATACATATGTATATTAAAATATACTGTATATCCTTGTTGGGAGCTGTGCTCTAGTGGTCCTTTAGTCTGCCTTCTAATAGTGAAACAAGAACAAAAAGATGCATCTCAGAATGACCCTAGTCAATCTGTAAATCAACAAAACCACTGATAAAGTAAGTGGAAAAATCCTCCATAGGGTGTTAAGCTGGGAGGAAGATCTACTCACATATAAAGACTTGTTAACTAAAGATCAAACTCTGAAATATAAACAGGATTTACAGAGATTAGGTCTATCAACAGATTGGTGGTCAGTGTTGAAATTAGAATCAAGATATAAAAAGAATAAAAATATGGGCTTTTTCGAAGGGAAAGATCAGGTGGATAAACTATGGATATACACAAAAGAGAAAACAATAAAAAAAATTATATATATTTGTTAGAGTATGACCTGGAAGATGAAAGGGTGAAGGAGGTGATAGTCAAATGGGCACAAAACGTTTGTTATAATACTGATATTGATGACTGGACAAAAAGATGTGAAAGATTATAAGTTGATTAAACCAGTTAATCTTAGAGAAAACATCCTTAAAGTGTTTTATAGATGGCATTTTACTCCAATAAGATTGGCAAAAATGTCAGAAGGGATCAGCAATGTTTATTGGAAATGTAAAAAAAATCCAGAGATTTATTATCATGTATGGTGGTTATGTGAAAAAGGGGAAAAAATGGTTCCAGGTTTGGGAAATTTCACAAGAAATATTCCAGCAAAAACTAAGTTTTAAACCTGAAATGTTGTTATTGAATATAATGCTAGAGATCATTGATAAAACAAAATATAGTCTACTGTGTATATGCACAGCAGCCAGGTTACTCGGAGTCCAAAAATGGAAGAATGGAGAAATACCAATGATGGAGGAGCTATTAAAGAAGCTACTGGATATTGCAGAACTATATATGCTTTCAGAGGCAATATGGAATCAACCAAAATACTTTGTAAAGGAAAGATGGAATCTGATGTACAATTACGCCCAGAAACAGACAGGAACTTAGGGGAAGAAATGAGTGTAGTGAACCAGTGGTTACAAGAACTTTAATGATATTAGATGACCTCTAGACGATGGCGAAATCTCTGATCTATGTAGTACTGAAGTTTACTTTTTGTTACCTTTTGTTGTTTTTGTTATATCTTACTCTGTTGTTTTGTATGTATGAGTAATAATAGTTTTTAAAAAAAAAAGAAAAGAAAAATTGTCCATGGGGAGTGGGATCCAGTGGCCACCATGATAGTTTGAGGGTAGATTATTTTGAACAGTTTCCCAATTTGATAGAAAAATAGGAAAGGGAGGATTTATGTCTTCAGAAAATTGATAATTGTGTTCCCTGTCACACTAATTGGATTGCCTTTTCCCAGGACAATATAAAATGTTAAAGGTTGAATACAGTGGTATTCCTCCCAAGAGTTGAATTGAAGGCTGTCTGATCTAGCAGAACCTTCTTTCAACAGAGCAGTAACACAATTTTTGCAGATTGTCCTTGCTCTCATATTTGGTCCAGAGACCCTTTGCAACTATGTGGAGGATAGCAAAGGGGCTGCAGTAGAGAGGAAGGGAGAGGGAGTGAAAGCTGACCTGCTGATGAACACTTCCTGCTGATGAACACTGTCACAGGATCAAAGAGCTGTCAGTGAAGAATTACTACTTTATACATCTCCAGATATGAGGAATTTCTATACAGCATTGAAGGCCAGTTTGCCAGGGGGTCATTTGAACAGAAATATTAGGGTCTGAAAATTAAGTGAATGTACCTTTCTAAACCTTTTGATAGGAATCATTGGATGTAAAACAACGAAGCATCATTTTCCTAACCACCCCAGATTATTATAACACATCACTGAACATTACCAAATGAGTAGCCTTATGAGCTAGTGTGCTGTAGAGGGCAGAGTGCCAGACTAGGGTTTAGGAGACTAGGTTCAAATCACTGCTCAGTCATGAAAATTCACTGAATAGTAAACCACTCCTTGAATATCTCACATACCCTGAAAATCCTGTTGGGTTATGATAAGTAGAAAGTGTCTTGACAGCACATAACAACAACAAATGACATATTGTAGTTTACCACTCAAGACAGCATATAACATGATCCTATTGTTGGCAGCTTCATGAAGCCAGCTCACCTGGCTCTGTGCAGTCTCCCATCAGTTCCATAAATTGGAAGTGACTTGATGGTGCATAAGACTAGAGATGGCCATAAACTGCTGATTTGGCAGTTTATTTCTCAGCCAGGCAGGTGTTCAACACCTCCCAGCCCCACCTCCTCCAGCAGGCGCTCACTCGGAGGCAGTGCCCCAGCTTCCCTGCCCTACTGAGTGGTCACCTGCTAAGGAGATGGGGCTGGGAAGTGCCAGATACCTGTTTGGTCAATAAAAGAACTGGCACAAACAGCCGAATTGGTGGTTCATGCCCATCTCTACATTTGAGCCATATTGCTATAATCTTGTCCTAGAATCAAAGCTTCCATGTTGCATCATAAATGTAAGTGCTTTTTGATCATCCTTTAATAGTGCTGTAACTGTGTTATGGGTTTTATTTAACATGGGTCATGTTTGCTTAGAAAGATTAGGTCAGACTGTTTATTCTTGATTTACATCGAGTGAAATGAAATGTAACTTCATTTGTGCTGTACCACAAAGATTAGTACAAAAATGTAAAATCAATAAATCAATTTATATAATTTTGGTAGATATTTATAGTTGTAAGTTAAACAAGTGCTTTGCTGCCATTTGAATTACGTTTATTTTTATTTATTTTTTTAGAAAATGATGCATCCTGTTGCCAGTGGTAACTCCCCTTTCTGTGGGACTGGAAAGAGTTCTTGCCTTAATGATGACAATGGGACACCGACCGATCAATTTGATTTATATTCCACACAACAAACTAAGTATAGCCATGCAGTGAGCCACAAGCCAATACCATGTCAGAGACAAGATGCACTAAATGAACCACATTTGCAAACCACAAGTGGCAGGAGTATAGAAACGAAAGATGAACTAAAGAAAAAGAAGAACCTCAACAGATCCGGTAAACGTGGAAGGCCTTCAGGGACCACCAAATTAGCGGGGTACAGAACAAGCACAGGCAGACCGCTGGGGACCACCAAAGCAGCTGGATTTAAGACAAGTCCCGGTAGACCTTTGGGGACAACTAAAGCTGCAGGATACAAAGTCAGCCCAGGGAGACCTCCAGGTAGCATTAAAGCTCTATCACGGCTTGCAAATCTAAGTTATACTTGTAGTACTGCAGCTTTCCCCTACTCTGTGGTGCATAACAGAGGAGTGCATGCTGCTGGTGAGACAAGTAGCAAGATCAAGCAACCCACTGAATGAAAAAGGAGGAAACTTGATGATATTTCCTCAGTAATTCGTTTTAAATTATCCAAGTTGTGACATGTTTTTCATTTCTTTTGTAACTTCTCCATAACTTTCTTTCCTATATTTTTAAAAGATGTCATATCATGATCATGTTTCTTATGTTTACAAGTGGACTCCTCAGTGATCCCCTTGCTCCCAGGAAGCAATTAATACTATTTTGTGTGACAAATTTATTGTGGCTCTCTTAGCCAAACAGTTAAGTATTGAACAGCAGAATACTGCCTCTTAGGTAATTTAAAGTCACAATAAAGACTTCGTTGAAAATAAATCAAAATAAACCAATGGTAATTAGAAATTTGCAAATTATGTTTTTAAACTATAGCTCCCTGAATTTCGTGGGAGCTGTAGTCCAGAGACATAGATATGCACACCTCTAATAGAAACCAGTTACTCAGTACTGCTTTACCTGTAATAGATCTTTAAACTTTGCAATGTATGTCTCTCTTTTTTTCTTTTATATATTTTTTAATACAAGAGAGTAGAAACTAAATTTTCCACAATTGCTGGAACTTAAAACGGACCTCAAATATTTGTAGATATTTCAAAATTATATTTTTAAAAAGGTGGTCATTCCAAGCAGTCATTGTGCTATCAGTTTCAAGTCACTGAAAGTTTTTTTAAACAGCTCATAGCACCTGATACATATTCAGAGTGCTGTTTTTCCGTTAAAGTATGGTGACTCTCCAGAATGAGCAAAGTATTGGACACTGACATATAATTTATAAAAGCCTAAGACTACACATACCAAATTTAAGATGATTAAATATCTGAAATATTTTATTAGTAGTTTTTTTAAAAAAGTACTGTTAATTATTGGAGATTACGTATAGGGCATCATGAAGATTTTGGTTGAGAATCTGCGCTTTTTGTGCTTTCTAGTCCAACTGACTTCAAGGATATCAGATGTACACAAAAGTGTAGTATGTGCCCTGTGTTCTAAATCTGTCAATACATATGTGAGTCTTAGGTGATCTTGCAATATCTGCAGATGGCAGCAGTTTTTAGGATTTCAGATATTTGTTGTGGTTTAAAATTACACTTTTCAGACAGATGATTTGTCATCTTTAATTACCTTGCCAGAAGTTTAATTATCACACATACTATAGAGAGCCTATATCTACCAAAGGAAGACATTTTATGGTTCATAATTGGAAATGTTACCGTTGATGCACAAGCAAGTTGCAATTTGATCTGTTTATAGAACCAGATACAGATTACAGGAATACATCTATGCATGGAGGTGCGGAACTATAAATACATTTTCTGACATTTGTGCACCTAAAATAAATGTTCTGCAATGAATTGGGTATATGTTATTTTTAAATGTGTGTATGTCTGAGATAGACGGTGTGTAATATGCACATTACATTGTAACTGAAGAAAACTCTCAAGATTGAATATATTCCAAATATTTCTTTAGAACTAAAGCTATTCTGAAACTAAGTTTACATATAGAATATAAATTTAAATTTGTATGTTCAAATACACATGAGAAAGAGATGGTTTAGATGCATATTTGCAAATTCATGGAAATACAAGTCTTTCAGGTTAATTAGAAAATGAAAATGAACAGTGTTGATTTTTTCCCCTTTATAAGATAAATGTTGTGGCCTGCTGACATTTTGATGACAACTGATTCAGTAATGGCAACTTAAGAAATGGATGTCATTTCATGCCTTTTTTATCAGGAAAAAAGCAGCAAGCCTTCAGGTGTTCCAGTGATGCCTAACTCATTATGAGCTGGACTTTATCCTGTATTTTATAATAGGTGTGTTGAATGGTTTTGGGGGGACTTTGTATGCACTGGCAACCATGAACCTCAAAAGTACTGGAAGGCTCTTTAATCTAATAAACTAATGGCAGCTAAACTGCTAGGAAAATAGTTTTTTTTTGGCTGAAGCTATGAAGTTCATTAAATATTTCTTCAAGAAACTTTGGAAGTGTGAAACTTTTTATTTTTCCCACATTGGTGCAACTTCAGACACACTATGCTAATGTGTGTACACAATACTAATGTGAGCTAATTCACCCTCAGGACATATGTTGTGTTGCCTTTTTTGTTACCTTTTTTTTTCCAACCAAAAGGCTGCTTGAGGCCCTCTCTGAACTTGTCTTGGAAAGCAGCTGAATGTAAAAAACCAACAAGAATGGCACACCTTTAAGGCCAGGAGCAAATTGCATGTCACCAATGTACCTTTGAATAACTCTACTTCTTACCTCCTGCTATTCTTATTCTACCCTTTCACTTCTCATATGTGCATCTCCTCAGTGGTGCCGTGCAGTGTGGTGGGAGATAATGCAAATACATTATTGCTATGGTGTACAATGAATTTTGTATTCAAATATGCTGAGAAAATTGTGACAGTATCTGAGCAGCTAGTGCTAATTTATAATGCTTATCAATTATATCTGATGAAACAACCACCCACTAAAAAGACTAATATTACCAGTTGTGGAAAAAAGGAACCCCCCCCACCTCTTCCATTTTCCAGAAGGGTAGTTAACACCCTGGATTTGCTAAAAGAGGCCAGAAGAACACTGTTGGGCATTTCTTGATTCCAGTTAATTTTCTCCTCTACTGCGGTTTACAAGTGCCATTCTGTGGGGGGAAACAGAAGTCAAGAACCTGATATGTTTGAATGGTATATTCAGATATTTTTGCTACTCCTGTATATAGTCTTCAAAATACATTGTGCTTTTCTTTTTTGTAACACTGTCTCTTGTCATGACAAACACTGAAACAGCATGTTAATTCTTATACTTTGATATTATTGGAAAGTGGAGGAGGAATATTCCTTTCTCCCTGTAGTATTAATACATGATTTGTAAAACAAATTGATAATTTTATATTATATATATATTAATTCTGCTCTTCATAAGCTAGAATTGTTGATGTGTATTGGCACTGTTCAGAAAATCTTCATGTCAAACTTGTACTTTATTTTTCTTTATGTTAAATATAGATTTTTGTCTCATCTTTTAATAAAGCATTTAGCATAATTATGCATTACTGGGGATCTATACAGTAGCCGCTACTTTGAACACATACAGAAATTGCTGATCACTTTCTGTTGATAAACTGTTACTTAAACTGTAGAACCAAATAACTTACTACTATTTGAAGTCTTGCACTGGATATTTTCAAAACCTTAACACATGCATTGATAGAAATTTAATCACAGAGGGGACTAACTGTTGTGAAGGTAGCACTTTTTTTAATTGAAAAAGAGATCAGTGATTCCTTTTACATACCAAGCTTATTTCATGTTTTGCAACTTTAGTGTATTACATGTCATTGATCAGGGCTCATCCAGCACTTGTTGCAGTGGTCCAATTTTATTGTTATTCACATTTTCTTTTAGTCTCTGGACAAACCCAGACAAATCAGAGTCATTCATAAAGGATGAGAAATTTCTTTATTGACAATGCAGAAGGCAGTTAATCTCAGATTTTTTTTTTAAGTTTTGAAGGATTTTGAAAGTCAGAGCAGTAGAAATAATTACTGTATTTCATAAGTTGTCATTTTTATGTGTGTACTGTATGTACAGTGTGTATTAAATACAAAACAATTGTTTGCAGTCAGTTTTTGAATTTAGCTTATACTCATGTTTATGCTTTTTTATTATCCATATATTTAACGTAGTCCAAATAATATACACATCATAAAATACCAGAGCAGCCTTTCCATTTGATTTTTTCCCATATAGATGAATTTAGGTTCTGCAAAGTGTTATCTGTTTCACCTTGAAAATTATACTAATGTTAATGAAATTTCAATACATCTTTGCTTTAAATGGGCCACTTCAAGAATCTCATCTTCCACAATTTGCTTTTCCCGTAAAATGGCTTATTTTGGTGGAAGCAGTTGCTCATTCAATATCATTACCCTGTCTTCTGCTGTAAAAAGTCTGATTAGATACTGTGTATGTTCCTAAGTCCATGAACTTCCACTACTCGTGTGCAATTGTCTGTATGGGAATGGAGTAGTGTTCATTATCTGTATTTACGTCATCATATGGATGTATATTTATTAATAAAGTAATTGCTTTAAACACCAAGTACTTTATCATGTTTTATATCCTTGCTACATGATTTCTGGGTTCAAGCTGCTGTAGTTTACAGTAGGAAAAGGAGACAAAAAACAAATGCCATTAGGTTGTGTGTAGCAACTGAATGAAAGAGCACCTAATTTCCTCATGTTCTGGCATCTGGCTGATTAGCTCAGTGAGTTAGGTATCAAGAGTTGATTCCCCATCCTGTATCCCCAGAGAAGAGGCACTCTGTGCAGTCAGAAAAAGAGAATGGTAGACCACTGCTGTGCCTATAAAACCCTGGAAAGGGTTATCATAAGGCAGAATCAACTTAATGACAATTATTGCAAGAGTCATCATTGTTTTACCACATTCAAAAAGATGAAGGGTTGCCTTTAATTTATTTTTCTTGGCTTGATTCTCATTGGAAACAGTTTCCATATCTTCCTTCCCTTCCCTCCCTATAATGTATGATCTCTAAAATAGAGTGTAAGGCACTGTCAGTAGTGCCGGTTACTAAGCTTTATTAGAATATAAGGTAATTCTAGTAGGTGTGTGTGTTTCTGGTGATCACCAGATACTACTAGAATTATCAACTTACAAAATCTTCCCTTTGAAAATATTTCATAAATGTTGTAAAACCAGTGATTTTACTGGCAGTTCAGAATGTTGGTTATGATGATTCAAATTTTAATTTAATTCCTTTTATGTTATGAACTTAGAGCAGTAGATCTCTTGACTAAAGAAGATATTTTTACAGTTACATTGCCACATACACATAGAAGGGACATGACTGCAGTAAACCTTCTAATACAGCTACTCCTATACTGCAGTTTTCAGATTTTTTCTAATCAGCACAACTGTGTGTAATTTTTGTAGTACTTCAGATAACTTTATTTAGAACACAGAACTAAATCAACTAATTCTTTGATTTCTTATGCATAACTTAAATCATATGGTTTGATATAAAAGTGGCATAAATATGATATTAAACTATTAACTGTTGAGTACATACTGTACATTGGTTTCTACCACAACATTGCATCAAGTTGTATTTGCATATTTGTCCTGCAACAGTATATGCAACTTGGAGTGATCTCTCTTAACACTCAACATCTTTAAGAAAACCTTATGTTTAAGGCATTGGAATTGGAAAAGAAAGAGGCCCAGCAATTGTAACACTAGTTTATACAAGTGAAGATATTTGTTGACAAGTTATCACAACAATGTTTTATTCAATTGTGCAAGGACCTGTTTTATTTCTGTGATTATTCTTCTAAAGTCAGTGCCACATGATGAAGTGATGGAAATGATAAGACTGTGCTCCCTCCATTTTACAAACAAGGCCATTTGCCAGCTGGAGAACTACTGGCAGCAGAAATGCTATGATTTATTCATGTGAAAGCCAGCAACTGTATCAATCTTTTTTTAAAAAAAAGCTACTACTCATGAAAACATTATTCTGCTGAATAAAGAGGTCACAGAGAAAGTCTGTTGAGACTTCTCTTAGTAATTATTCTCTTGCCTTGTCTACTATTCCCCTTGCTTTTCATCAGGAGAGAACTTCAGGCTTCCCCTTCCCCAGACAGTAGCACAAGCCATTTTTTAAATATATTTGTACAAAATGTGACCATCTTTGATGTTAAAAATGTGCCCCAGCTAGCATGTTGATTGGGCATATTATTTTCAGTAAAGGATTTTGTTGCAAAACCTGTTAATTTCTTAGTAAATGGATAAAGTAAATGGATAAAGAGAGGTTTCAAATGGATAAGAAAAAGGTGCAGCTATGGATTTCCAGAATGATCTGCAAGTATAAGAGTATCTAAAATTATATTTATTTTTCTAAGGATCCATCCACCTGTTCTGTTTTTAAGTTGTACTAATATAGTGCTCAGTAGTTAACAGAGTGTTTTCAATTTATGATTGTACACTGAAAATGCAACTTCTATTCTAAAGTTGTAACCTATATAATTTAAGATATTTCCAAAAATTAAAAAACAGTAGCTGAAATCTTGTTGCTTAGTGTAGTTAGTCACCAAGAATCAGAGGGGGTGTTCAGTAAGTCAACTGCTCTATACATTTCATTGGTTCAGTGTGCGTACTTCAGTTGTGACTTACTATATTAAGCAACAGGATTTCAAGCAATATATAATTTCAGGAATCTGTTTAAAATTGCTAGCATTGGTTTAGTTAGATTAATTTATTTCTGTGTTGTTTTCTGGTTTTAGTAGCATAAAGACTGCCTAATAGAGAAATGAAACTTTTGTTGGAAATGAAAACATAAGCAGACTTATTTGGAGCACATATTTACACATTGCAAACCCAGTGTTGATAAGTTCTTGTCACAAGCTTCTACTTTGAATTTTACCTTCAAGTACACCAAAACAGCCACTGTATGTCTGGTGAGTAAAGGCAAAAAGAAGAGTAAGCCTTAATAGTCTTGTGTATGCAGAAAACCACAGTAATGTTTTTTTGTATGCTGCCCTAGATAGATGTGAAAAATTATTCCTGAAATACTTGCATTACAGTGGGGTCTTGACTTAAGAACAGCCCGAGTTAAGAACATTTTGACTTACGAACCGCTCTCATAGGAAATTATTGACTTGAGTTACGTACTTAGATTTGAGTTACGAACTGAAAAAAACCACGTGGGAGGCAGGGAAAGTGCAAAATTTGAACTTTCAGTTAACTGGTTGTTGTGGGTTTTTTGGGCTTCTTGGCTGTGTTCTGAAGGTGGTTTTTCCTAACGTTTCGCCAGTCTCTGTGGCCGGCATCTTCAGAGGACAGCAAACTGTGCTCTGGGTAAGGCTTGAGAGTGGAGTATTTATGGCTGTGAGAAGGCTTGTTTGTGAGAAGGCTATTGTCCTATCAGGAGATGGTTAA